TGATGTAGTGCCTCCGGAAGTACTAGTGAACTTTATGCTTCTCATCCCATAACATGGCATGCCATCCCGTCTGCATATCATGACCTTCCAGTTTTAATAATCTCCAATTTTCCAGTCGAATCCAATCTCACCTACTTTTCTCATTCAGTCCAGTAGGAAGATCATACTCTGGGTGCAATCTGCTAAGAAGTCTTGGATGGTAGGGCTTTTTCTGTCATGGCACCCATCCTCTAGAATATCATTTCTCTGGTGGTTCCATCTCTGTTGACCTTTCAAAGGGCTCTGGGGATGTGGTTTTATGCTTGAGCCTGAGACCCCAAGTATGGAGACAGAGCCCATTTCTTGTTTATGCTCAACGTTTCATCATTACATAATTTTTCCAGATGCTATTTTATATTACTTGTATATGCTTTTTATCATTTTTAATATTGTTCATTGCCTAAAGTCATATTATCAATTATCTAAATCTATTAAATAAAATAAAAAGAGATTTATAATTTTGGTTTAGGATATTATGTAAATCCAGCCACTGCAATTATGGTTCATCATCTCAATAGATGGCAGCATCTCCTAAGCTAAGCAAGATGAGACTTGGTTAACATGTGGTTGGGAGACTAGCAGACAATTCCAAGACTATAGGAAAGAACAGGGGTTTCAAACTGAGTGAAACCGTGGCCACCCCCTTGCTGGCAATGGCAAAAAAGTCACAATACGTCGTGACATGTCACGTGACGTTGCAAGTTTGACACCCCTGGGAAAGAAACAATAAAATCTAACCCAGAAGAAGACAATGACAAATTGCTGTCATATCAATGATAGGAAAATTGGATAGATGTGTGTCATCAAGAGTAGAGTTTAACGATGGTGTCTTTACTGTATGTATGGCTCAGTAGGATTTATGAATCTAGTTATTTATAATTTGTTTAGCAAACCATGGTTAGCTCAATGGGAACATTCATTTTTTGGCTGCAGTAGTGGAGGTAGTCAGTACTTTTGTTCTTACTGCAGTTAGTTTCTGAGCACAAAATTATACATTCTTGAGAATAACTTGTAGTGAGTTTACCAAGCTATTATTGAAGAGACTGCTATTTGGAAACTTGTCAACTTGCCAAATATTAAAACAGGACTACTTGGAAGAGTGAACTTGAGTGAACTTGAAGACTACTTGGAGGGAAAGTGGGTACCAGAATTTAACAATCAGAATTAGAATTTGGGGATTAAAAAATATAAAAATGATTTGAATGAAATATGGACAGCTGCAAGAATGTAAGAATCAAACTAATGAGGCAAAGCTACAGTACTGCCTACTGCATTCCGGACCCCACTTTTTCTCCGTTTTTATATGGTTGCCATTCACTACACTACACTACACTACACTACACTACACTACACACACACATAGAGAGAGACTGAGAAAAGGTGGGGCTGAGAATGCAGTAGGCAGCACTGTACCTTTGCCTGATACTTTGATTCCTGCATTCTTGCAGCTGTCTGTATTTCACCCAAATCATTTCCTTGGCCAATGAGAAAAAGCTTATTGTGCAAGAATAGTTTCACCCCCATAAGATCTGACTGTAACCAATTTGATGTGAAATATATCACTACACTGCGAAAAAAATATTTTCTCTAGATTGATAAGAAAATTGATTTTCCTTTCAGACTTGTAGTTTAATTTGAATGTATTTTTTGTTTATTATTAGGTTAATTTTACTGAAGGAAGAAAATTGTTGCCTTAGAAAACTGTGTGCATAATTTAAAAAAAATATATGGGGTGGTGGTCAATTATTAAGTCAATACATTTATTTTGCAAAGCATATGTATATACATTCACAACTCTATTATCTTGCCATTCTACGTGAATATATCCACAATGCTAACCTAAAGCTGATATGATTAAAGGTACCATTTTATCTATGTTGTTCTTTTGTCAAATTATGTACATTTTATATACATTTGTTTAACTATGTCATTATACCCATATCAATGACTGCTTTCCACTGCTTTCTTTGATTTTTTTCTAGACAACATGGATGATTCTAAATGTGGATGAAGCACTGACACAAGGATGTCAGAATGGTTTTCTAGAATCCATCCTTTTCTTTTTTTAGAACATGAACTATATCACATTATAAATTGTTTTTCTTTGAACATGTCAGATTACAAATACCACATTCAGAAAAGGGAAAAATAGATGTACACTACTGCAGCTCTGCTTGGGTACCAGCCAGGATACATACAGAGGAAAGAGGTATACATTCCATGGCTGAATGCAGTTTTGCCTACAGCATTCTAATTACAATTGGGGCCTTTAGCAGAACATGGATAAATCCTATATAGTCATGAAAATTGCTAAACCATTTTAGTTTTAAAATTATATAGAAAATTATATCTATGTACTTTACCATGACTATTTTGTTCCAATGGCAACTTGCCATTAAATATCTGCACACCACAAATGAAACTTTCTGAATAATATTGCAATCACTGAAAAATATTTTTTTAAAGAATCTAAGACCATTTAGAAAAAAATGAGTTCGCATTTTTGATTTTGCTAAAAAAAGAAGCATGCCTTTGTCTGCACCCAACCTATTCCTAATTTTTTTTTAAAAATGCAGTATTTTTCCTACTGTATGTTTCTCTACAAAAAGGGAATAAGAGAAAGCTAAATACAACAGAAGCAAATATTGCCAGATGCATCATCCTGAATTGGATATATATTCTAGAATTATGAGAAAAGACCATTTTATGTCAGAAGGGGACAGGCAGCATACATAACATTTTGGATTATTAAAAAAATATTAAAGCCATCCATGCAAGACAGCTGTTGTTCTACACCGCTGCTAGTGATAAATTCTGTCTAAAGGACCCAAATGAAGATGGTTACATTTTTTAGACCACACATTTTTATAAAATATAACTTTCCCAATCTGAGCTGAAGATATCCTTAATAATATAAAATTAGCACAAGCAGAAGGAAGATTGGGGGAAAGTAATTGTTTTGTACTGTTTTCCCTGTACAACATACACTATGCACAAATTGTCTAGCTGCCTCTCAAGACTAGGTAAACCTTCACAGCAATAGCAAGGAATTGGACTGAAATTTCATAATTTCTTCACAGAAATGAAAGGAATACTTGGGCCACAGCCTACTAAATAATCCCGTCCACCCATAAATAAGGAAAAGTGTCTATGTGTGTTTGTGTTTTTTGAATGTGTTGTTTCAGATGGACTTACATAGTCATGGAAGACTGAAGAAGGAAAATCGAGACTTCAAACTGTTTTATCACGATTTGCCTTCACTGGCTTGATCTCCTTCCAGACTGCTGTTGTATGTCAGCGCCCATGCACATAGGCATGTACATTTATACCCAGAAATTACAGGGCATTTCATCCCAAGCTAAATAATCAATACGTTTTTCTAATTTCCATCACCAAAATACTACAACTCTGCCCACAAAAGAATCAGGAGTAGATACTGCAGAATCCTCCTTATACAATATGTAGAGAAAACACCACGCAAAGGGTAGTTAAGGTTGCCAGCTTTCCTTTTGATTTCTCTAGCACAGCAGTCTGTTTTAGTCAGACAAAAGCCCTCAAATGGTACTTGTAATCAAGATTTGAAAAGACTACAATTTCTTTCTTTTTACAAAAGAGGGTTTGGGGGGGGGGAAAGAGTTCATTAAAAGTGACCTAACCCGTCCCGTTTTTTGAGAAAAATTGGCCTGTCATTAAATGGAGGGAAATAGAGAGAACATTCCTATGCTTCTTAGTCTAGAATGTCTTTTTAAAAACAATCTGTACTGAAGAAACCAAATATTTTTAAAATATTATTTGGGCTCTTTTATCCTAAATTTGCTATATTTTAGGAAGAATTGTTTATTTCTAAATTTGATCTGGATGTAAAATATTATTTGCTATTATTTTGATTTATAACCAATATAAAATGTTCTTCACTAAAAGAGCATTTAGAATTATTTTTATACATTCTGTTAACTATAAATATATCTTTTTCTCTATTCTACTTTTTTTAAAAAAATTGTCTGTTTTCCCTGTTATCGTGTTCCACTCAAGGGCTAAGAAAATAAAAAGGCAAAGATTAAGGCAGAGAAACGGGGAATGAAAATAGGGAAACACACACACACCCAAAAAAAGAAGAGAGAAGGAAAGAATAATGAAAATCTAAGGTTTATAAAATGGATACAAAAGATACCATCCAAGTCCTGACTACCATAGCTCAGCAAAATTGAAACACCTACACTTTTGTGCATCAAAATCACAAGTTGACTTTTTCAATAGATTTTTAAGCATGCCAAATATTGCCTTACAAATATTTTCACCTATACTTGAATTAAGCCTCTTACGTTTGCCAGTGATTTTCAGGGTTCTGTCCAGCTGCATGTTAAGAAATGCTTGAACATTTACGAAACTGATACAAGACAGCTGAACCCAGTCAAAAGTCAACTTGGTTTTGCCCTCAATATGTAATGCACAGCTGCATGAATTGCATAAAAAGGTTCAGGGCAGACATATATTTTTTGGGTACCAAAATCTTAAAATAAATAAAATATTCATTTTCCCAGCAATAGTCAGTTTTGTCCCCTCTTTTGCTTCAGCTGCTTAAGCAGATACTTTAAGCAGATACTTGCTTTGAGAATGATGAAAGAGTTCTTTTCTTCCGCATATTTAGAGACATATTGTTTATTGGATGCTACCTGCACCTTTATACAAATTCTTCTGCCAGTATCAAATAGTACCAGTTTAGTTTTTTAGCAAGATTGCAAAGCAGGTGAAAATATCTATGCCTTCTCATACTACGAAGCCTTTACATCACATACAGACACACATGGGGGAGTAAAAGATTGCTCATTGAAATAAAAGTGATGCTGATTCCCATCCAGAGAGGGTGGGGGTGGGGCAGGGGTGGAGAAAGAGGCATATGCACATTTAATCCAAAGGGCACAAAAGCAGAAGGCAATGAGAGTAAGTTGTGTAGCACTCACCTAGAATCATACCGATGGAGCTGGCGTCTCTCCAGAGCTAGCTACTTCTTCGTATTTGCCCAAACACTGGTGAGTGCAAAAGAGCTCTTGCCTTTTTGAAAGCTCTACGCTGTGCTACAGCCAGCCTGTACTACACCACTGGCCACTACCTCCCCCTTGAGCTGATACACTTACACCTCAATTAAAAGCTTAACGCTCCACTGATCAATGCCCTAAAGGAGGTAACAGCAACCATGCTTCCCCAGTCACTGGCCCAAGCAGGACAGATGGAAAAATTAGCCTCCGTAACTGCTCTCAGCAGAGGTCCATGCAAACAATGATGAGGAATTAACATCGAAATTGGATGGCAAAAAAAGAGGGGGGCTGGAGAGAGGGACAGGGAGAAAGAGGAGACCACCCGTTTTGCTTTTCAAAAGCTAAAGAACACATAATCCCACTAAAACAAACCCTGGCTAAGTGCTTCCATGAGCAAATAAACTTTCAGCTGACAGCCTCACTCCCAACCCTACCCCACAAAAACATCTCACATGACCTTGTTATTATTTAACATTCCCAGGCACCTTTCTATTTGAACATTTAACTGGATGCTGACTACTCCCTCTTGATGCTTTTTTTGATTGCTTACCTCAACTGTAAATTGTAGCCTTAATTACTGAGGGTTATGAAGCAGTGGATTTCATGACCAATGCAAAGCAGTGTCTTTGATTCAGTGGCCCAAATGTCATGTGATAGCTGGCGTAATATTACTTTTGAGCCATAGGGTAGATAAGAAGCTGTGGGCAGATAACACAATCTGAAACCTAACAACCTCTAAATGGGATACTGTAAAACGGAAAACTGGCCCACAAGGTTGGTCTAAGAATGAATGGATGAGAGAAAGAACAAAAGGAATTTTGCACATTCAAAATCCTACAATATGATACAGCTAAGGATTTTAGTTCTCTTCTCATACACTTGATTACTTAAAATACCTAACAAAGCTTTCTCTAACATGGTAGTTTCTGGACTGCAACTGGAACTACCCAAATTCTCCAGTTAATCTAATCTAATCAAATCACGTAGGGAACAAAGTTGTTGGCTTTGAATCAAGACAAGCCTCAAGGTCAGAGAGTCGGTCTCTGCTACTGTATTTTATTCTTATTCTAGTAATGCCCCGAAATCTACTTTTATTTTAATGGCTCTTTGGGTAAAAATCTGCTGACAATTTTCTAAGTAAGCCCAACATACCTTAAGATTTCCTCTGCAGAGGTTGCACTGAGATGCTTTACAAGCCCTAACATAAAGTCTCAGATTCTTCCTATGGCCACAGAATTCCTGAGATGGACAATTTTAGCAGAGATAGCTTTTGCCATTCATTTTTTGATCTCTATGATTGGAAAATATCACTATTGTAGCTACATTTCTACAGGCCAGGCTTCTGCTAAAGCTGAACAGCAATTAAAAATATATGCAGGACTACAATCCAGTATTATATTTGGGCTGAAGATCTTTAGATGATCATTAGGTGGCCTCTGACCTCTAGTGGTTATCCAGAATTTTGCAGACCAGAGACAGCCTGCAATACAGGCAGACTTTGACTTATAATCCATTTGTTAAGTGACTGTTTGAAGTTACAACTGCAGTGAAAAAGTGACATGACCATTTTTCACATTTATGACCACTGCAGCATCCCCATGGTCACGTGATCAAAATTCAGATGCTTGCAACTAGTTCATATTTCTGATGGTTGCACTACCCTGGAGGTCATGTGATCCCCTTTTGTGACCTTCTGACAAGCAAAGTCAATGGGGAAGTCAGATTCACTTAACAATTGTGCTACTAGTTTAACAAACTGCAGTGATTCACTTAACAATTGTGGCAAGAAAGGTCATAAAATGGGGCAAAATTCACTTAACAACTGTCTTGCTTGGCAATGGAAATTCTGGGTTCAATTGTGATCATAAGCCAACGATTACCTGTATAAGGCTTGCAATAGAGCTAATTGAGCAGATATTGAGGACTGCATTTAGATACTGCAGAATTCACACCATTTATTAACTGAGAATGGTAACATGTTGCCCTAAAACATATTTTCTCTAGTGATCTATTTTTCCTTGCTGCTCAAAAATGTCTGCCACTTGCCATGATCTTCTTCCAACACACCCAATCTCTTGGTAGATCCTCCGAAAGAAATCCATCTGGAGGTTAGATGATTTATCCAAAATACTGTTTCTCCTACCTCTGAGGCCAATCACAATGTTGATGTCAACTCTAAGAATTCCTCAGCTGGCTACACTGCCCTGAATCTTGGGAAGGTGTGTCTCTATAACTGGAGAATTTAAAGTCAGAATAAAGACTCTGGTGTTCTAGGGAAGGATTAACACATAAAGAGAGCGAGTATTTCTTCATATGAAGTCTAAGAAATCATTGTATCTCTTTTAAAAATAGAGGTGAACTTATAACTCATTTTAAAATGTATGCTGCTATTATTAATAAGGGCAAAAAAGAGGTAAGCCCCTGATTTCCTAGCTGCTCTACATCTAACTTGAAAACCATATCTGCACACATCTACATCTTAAATATCTCCCATGGAATCTATTCAGTTAGACTGAATTACCTGGCATTTGAATAACTTAACTGCTTTGAAGAAAAACACATACTTTTGTTCAATTGTAGATGATGCCGGTATGTGACACAAGGGCATCACAGCAAAGTAAATGCTTTTGTAATTAAAGGAAAAGACTTCCGCTAAAAAATAACCTGCATTTTACCACTCATGGTTTTTAGAGGTACTTCTCTGCTATGCATTTATGAATACATCTAGATAAATAACACACATATGTAGTTTTCTGACTAGTATAGTAGAATTTTTTAAATGAATAAAATATTTTTAGATTGTAATTGTATGGTTATGCCTTATCATAAATACTGTTCAAGACAACAAGGTTTATCTCTAGATAACTACCTATTGATCATATTGTATAGTATATAACCTGGAACAACTAAACTACACAGCCTGCCCTGCTGAATTTGCTTTTGTAAGGAGATCTACTATGCCAAATGCTTAGCAGTTGTTTAGTGCCTAAATGGAAAAGGAAGAGCTTTCCAACATCTTTACAGTTTGAGGTAATGCAAGTCCTCTGAATGGCAAAGCAGTATCAGAACAAAACAAAAAGCAAATAGACATTGTTCTCACTTTTGTCTGTGTCTCTGTGTTCTTTTTACTTGATCTATAAAAAGGAAGGATAATAAAATCTGCTTAAATTTAAAACCTGTCTCCTCCCCACTCCTAGGCTGGGGGAAGGGAAACTGGTTTTGTTTTTTTAAAATAGAAGCATTCACTTCTCTTATCAGATAAAACCACTGGGCCAGCCAGCTCCCCTTCTCTTAATTACATACCTGCCCAGCTAGCTAATGGATATGGAGCAGGTTGCTGAAAGGCAAACATTCCTTGGTTATGAATGAACAGCTTGTTTACAACTAAAACCAAGATAACTCGAAAGACAGTTGAGCCAGTCATCATCTCTACATTTTGTCTGTTTCAAACTTTTCCAACCTGGCAGTCTCTAGATATTTTTGATTACACTGCTATTGCCCCACTTAGCATAGCAAGAAAGCTACTGTCTGAAAATGATGGGAATTGTAATGTAACACAACTAGGAGAACCAAAAAGACCTAGCTGCAGCTGATGGAAGTACCACATTGAGGAAGGATAATCTGTATTACTGGGTACATGGATTTCTCCCCAGAAAAAGATACCTTACTCCCCAGAAAAAGATGTTATTACCTTAACATAGCAAACTAAAACCCAGTTACTGTTCTGTGAATTGTCATTATTCACAGTCCTAAATACCTTTCAGAATTGCTGCACATATCCAACCTCTTTAATTTCTTTTGCCCCTACTGTTTTGCAAATTTCTCTCCCTATCAGTATAAATCTGTTCAAATTAAGATAAAGTTAAAAGATTTGAGAAGGGGGCACAAAGATTATTCTACAGTGTAAAGAGGTTTTAAAAGTTTCTCACATAGCAAAACCTTTTAATATTATTAATGCACTTTTTGCAATTAGCTAGAAACAAGATAAAATGGAGATTCCACTACCTTTGATGTTAATCAATCAAATTAAGCAAAATTTTCAAACAATAATAATTAGATATTTTCTCCTTTGTAGAAGGAAACTGTCACTCTGTTGAACTACATTTAAAAAAATCAGCATAATTAAGGAATGGAAAAATATAGGGAGGCAATGCAGAAACACTGGAATGCTAAAGATAGGGAGGCAATGTACAAACACTGGAATGCTAAAGATTGGAAATAATATTATGTGGAATTATTAATAGAATTTCTGTGAAATGAAAATAAAACATGGTAATTGTAGACAAAAGAGCAGGTACGGTACTTCCACAAAGAATTCATAAGAAACTTTTTCTCTTTCCATGTATATGAATTACAACTCCTATCATCCATAGCCAGCATGATCATCAATTGTGCTCAGCCAGGACAGGGAGGCAGTTAGGGTGATGGAAATTGTAATACGTCTGGTTAGGAAGACGGCTCTATATTAAAACTCAGTAATGTAATTTCTGTTGCCCTTCTCTTAACAAAATGCAATGGATATGTCTGCTTTCTTTCTGTTTGTCTCCCATCCTCACCAATTTGATTTCATTCCACTGAAGTTAACTAAAAATATATTTTTAAAACTTTTTTAAAATTTTTTAAAATTTTTAATTCAGGTGCCTATCATTTTAAACAAAATCAAAGATGCGAGAATATAATATAAACTAAAATATGTAATAAAGCATCACAATGTAAACTAATATCACATAATTTATACTGTGATATATTTTAAAATAAACAAACAAGTTTAATATTTAAATGAATATAAAAAGGATGGAAATTAAAGAACATATTTAGAAAATATATTATTTATATGTTTATTTATTTGTTCAATTTTCATGGCCACCCATCTAAGTCAATGACAATGACCAGAAACCAAATAATTTAAAGAATTTTGCTACAAATTCCTCTGCCCTACCTCTCCAGTGGAAAAAAGTCAATTCAATGTTAACAAAAATGCACATCAAAAAGCATTGTTAGAAATTAAGAGTAAAATTATCTTCCCACTACTATGTAATAATTTTCTGAACTCCACATTATGTTTCAAGCATGCATGTATTTTTAATTTTAGGTAAATTTGTGGAAGAGAACATGACCATTTTGTATGTTTTCTGCTGTTTCCATATGGATTGCTCCACTTTGCATGGTGAAAGTCTGCAGATGAGGACCGCATTTTGCAGAGCAAGTTGCTTTAGAAATGACACATGTTAATGAGCAGCTATTAATTTAAAAATGTAAAAAGTGAAACACCTACAGATGTGACTGCGTAAGCATTAGGATAACAGCCTGCTACTACAACATGGAAATAGATAGCAAATAATAATGCAGCCCAGGTTAATAGTAACAGAAACCAATCCAGTCACAATCAACCTCTGGAAAAAAATCTCTCTATAGCTTACTAAGAAACCAAGTCTAGATGCTGCCTTCATAACCACAGCAGAGATAAACGGTTCTGATCTAAGTATGCATAATTAGCACTCATTATAATCACACTAG